CCGCGCGGAACTTCTCGTTATACTAATCATTACAATCCGGTCGTGAACCCGGGCACGGAGATGGTTGCGCGAAGACGGCGAGAAATAGCAAAAGACGGCTGGCGGATGGGGAATCCCGCAGCAGACGGGTGCGGAGATAGAAAGAGAAAGCCTTTCTACGAATCGCGTCTTTAATGTAGTTCGTGTTCCTTCTACACGTACACCGAATACACCAACACTAGAGCGTGTAATATTGTTTTTAAAACCGACCGCGTATGTCATAAGCAATTATGTTTCGGACACGTAAATTAAATAAGAATTAAAACGTCGTTATTTTACAATTTTGTCAAGAAAGCAGTTGCGTCATCCAAAGTCATTACCGAATATGGATGTCGCCAAATGCACATTCATTTTTAATTAGATACAATTAAGTACCGTTGATACATTACTCGCTCGCATTAAGCGTCGACATTAATGACATCGCGTGACGCGATCGTCCCCTTGATAAAATCGTGTAAACAATTCGAGGTCTTAATTTTCATTTAATTCAGGCGGGAAACTATTGAAAAATCGTTGAAGTAAGAAATAAATAACAAAGAACTACGCCTATGTCTCTTCAAAGGATAAACCGTGTTAGATCCAAAAGGGTACACGCGTACAGCTGTCGGCAATAATATTGTCGCCAAACCGCGATGCATCATTTCATCGTGCCACCTACGACGCCATTAACTTTATAGCATCAGCGTACCTCCCAGCGTGCAAACACCTCGACTTCCATTACCGGCGTGATACGCCGACTATTAAACAGAAATATCTGCCATCATCTCGCCTGCCGTGTCCTATCCTAAAGTCGAGGAATTTGACTGTCGCGGATTCACCCCCATCATTTCCGCGACAGAATGTCACATTTGAATGTCATATTATCTTTTTTCATGCAGTAACATCGTTTTTATGAAATACGAAAATGTAAGGTATATTCGCAAAAATTTCAATATTTAAAAAATTCAAAGATTAGTTAATTAAAAAAAAAAATGTTAAAGACCCAAGAACATTGTGTGAACCGAAAGACATCGTCTGAACTACGTTTACGTCCCATTTCGGCTGCGCTCAATTCTTTATGCTCGTCGTGTCGGATCAGTTGGGAAGCCTCTCATTCGCTTCCTCCGTTCGAAGGCTTACGAGCCGTCGGTTGGCGCATGGGTGATAGCTTTAGACTTTCGGCATTCGAGCTGGGTTGATTAAGCTCTTGGCAAGGTGACGGTGCCACGAGAGAAACGCCCAGAGGTTGTCATCGCTCGCGAACTCGTTCCTCTCTGCCCGCCCCCGACCTTCGTTACGCTCCGGGTTTAATCATCGTCGCGACTCGTGCATGTTGAAAATTTCTCTCTCTGTGTGTGTATGCATTTTCCTCAGCATGCAAGAAACGGCTTGTGGATGATTAGCTTCCTCAAAACGAAGATACACCATCCGTGTCTCGGCCTTTGTCGATGCCGCCGCTGATTTTCGCCTTTTCAGCTACCGCTTTCAGCGGTGCCTCGCCGAGAATTACAAATGCAGCACTGAAGGCATGCAAAACGGGTTGTAATTAATAATCTGCGAAAGTGACCCATTTCGAGATTTTACGTGAATTATTAATCTCTTTATTTACGTATTCATATATTTATTTTACAAAAACGATACGCTCTTCGCCATAATCTCAGAGCGTGTGATGCCGGAGGTGGTGTGCTCTCGCTTAAATAATGAAAGAAAGTCTACATATGCATATTTATGAATACTTTCTTTGCGGCGGTAAATAGAAAAACATTTATGGATGAACGTTTTTACCAACGTCGGTGTGGCCGAGCGAGAGTGGGGGAGAGACGGAGAAAGTGGAAGATCAGTGTATGCAAGGAATCGTATAATTTACCGTACTAAAATATTAAAAGCAGAAGACTACCGACGTCCCGAGGGTATCGACACCCCCTAACCTCGGAAACTCGGGAACGTAACGGTACCTGCGAGCTTCCTTAAAAATTCACGAATCGAGGCCACCGCGGTGCTTTTTATCTCATCAAATAGTAATGCCGGGCATTGGACCGTTAGGAGACGGGATCCCTTCAGACTCTCCCCCTGATCACGTGCCACGTATACTGTCACGCGGTACACCGAAGAAAAGATATTAATACATTTTTATTATTTTTTAATCAAACGCATTTTATAAAAATCTTTGGGCACTTTTATATTTATTTCTTTTTTCTATCTGACCCTTTTATTTATATAATCTGCGCCGTGGAGAAGAAGATGGAAAGGAAAACTCGATGATACGCTCAACACGTGAGTGCTATACGAAGAGTGAATGCACTCGTTATAAATTCATGAGGAAGTGACGTACGATCGACCAGCATCGCGCGTTGTCTCTTTCGTGCCGGATGATGTCTGCATCCACGATTCGCAGTCGTGTCAGGTGGTAACCTTTGTTACGCATAAAATTTTCGCGAACCGGCCTGACATTTCAGCAAGACGAAAAGTGCCTTTCGTTGTCGATCGGCGCCGTAAGTCACTTTTTCCTAATGGAAGCCGTCACTCCACACCTTTTCGCCCTCTCTCGCGGCCTCGCACGACTGGAGACGCGCGGGGGGGAAAAAAAGGGGAGGAAGGAGTGAGAGCTCGGGATTCAATCTGCATTCAATATTGATTCCAATCCGATATCGTGGATTTCCATTTTTGTGATTTACTTCTTATGCCGGCAGCGCCGGCACTATCTGCGCCGCGAAAGGGGGTTGTTTTTCCGAGGGTCAGCCCCAATGCATAGCGATGTCGCGTCGTCATCGATCAAATTTCGAAAACGATAAATAAGCGGTCCTCACTCGCGACGATACGTTCACTTTTGATTCTCGCAGTGCGCGCCGACGGTTCTTCCCTGATTGTGAGCGATCGACTTTTACAAGCGGAAAGCTTTTCGGTTATTCGTATCAATTACGGTAAGTCAATGAACTAGAAGGCATTCCTTAACGACCAAAGTTCCAGCGCGTCGAGAAGTTTTGCGGAAAGACGTAGCTACCATCCGGAGATAAGGCGTTATCGATCTGATTTCTATCGCGGCGTAAAGTCACCTAATATGCTTCATTA